TCATTGGGTCACTTTGTGCATTGTTGGTTTAGTCTGTGGCTTCTAATCTTAGTGAAATTATTACTGAATATATGTTTTGTTCCCCAAATGTTATAAATGCAGTTGCTAAAGCCTCACACTGCCTGCCCAGAGTTTTTCTCAAAGTCTCATTGGAGTTAATCCACTAATGTTAATTAAATAATCATTGATAATGTCCTGTGACCTAATGGAGAGACACTATATCCAACATATCAAATACAGAATGTGAACTTACTTTCTGGAAGGAAGATGAATATTAAGATCCAGATGTGAATATAGACCATTTCTTCTCTATCGTTGAGCTGTCAGTCTATAAATGGAGCAGAGCTCTGTCCCTTCCTGTTTCTATATAAGAACATCCCCTTTACATCACAAATACCGTGACTGTGTGATATCTTTGTAGGAAATTCGAAGATTTAAAAAAGAAACGTTTTGAACATAATATGTCGTCTGCGTCCACCCACTCACTACTAAATCCTTCTTGTTTTTATAATATTAACATATATTAGAAACATACTTATCTCTCTTCAACCTTTCATTATAGAATAATAAGAATTTACAGAATATTAGTTCATAATTGATATAATGTAAGCTGCCCCCCCTTTATTTCGGTGCCTGTAAGAGAAGTTTGCAGAGAGATTTGCCAGCTAACCTCTAACCCAGAGACTCTGGGCCCCCTGTAAAGGACATTCCCCCTCCAGCTCCAAATTACAGGGACTGGTGAGGGTCATGAAGAGTTAATAAACATAAAATCACCGGACGTGTTTATGTGCCTGTAAAGTGTTAACCCATACTGACACTATGGTACAGACACTGGAAATTGGGACTTTAAGGGTTACTTTATTTTGGCTCCTGCATAATTAAAGCTAAGAAACACTGAGAGTCCATACTGGCAATAAAACAGTTAACAATGTGTGGAAAACTGCTATGTTGTAAAGGGTTAATTGCTTTGGATTGTATTTGTTTGTCTGTCAGCTGATTTCCCGGTGCATTTCGCTCTGCACAGAGGTGCTTGGAGGCAACGTAGGAATGGGTGGAAGAGACCTACCCAATAACACAGCAGACATAAGGGAGGGAGCTCTGGGAGTCAAGTGCTTCCCAGCTTTATCTAATGATGGGATCTGGGCTCTATGGGGGAGGACAGGGGACTGTATTTACTGGCTTACTATTCAAATAATAATGTGAATAAATATCCCATTCACCTCATTGTAACACTGGATATAGACAAACTAGCGGCATTTCTTACTGTATTCATTGAACTGATCCCAGTGGCTCTCCTTCAGGGTATTTTCTTATCTGGACACTTATTGTGGGGCACCTGTATGTGGGTGGAAGGGGTAGAATGGCCCAAAGTGCCCAATCGCTAATATTGGTATAATATATGTAATATTGATATAATCTAAATAGAGAACACAATCACTAGACTAGAATAGAAATAAAAACCTTAAAGGGACACTATAGTCACCTGAACAACTTTAGCTTAATGAAGCAGTTTTGGTGTATAGAACATGCCCTTGCAGCCTCACTGCTCAATCCTCTGCCATTTAGGAGTTAAATCCCTTTGTTTATGAACCCTAGTCACACCTCCCTGCATGTGACTTGCACAGCCTTCCATAAACACTTCCTGTAAAGAGAGCCCTATTTAGGCTTTCTTTATTGCAAGTTCTGTTTAATTAAGATTTTCTTATCCCCTGCTATATTAATAGCTTGCTAGACCCTGCAAGAGCCTCCTGTATGTGATTAAAGTTCAATTTAGAGATTGAGATACAATTATTTAAGGTAAATCCCATCTGTTTGAAAGTGAAACCAGTTTTTTTGTTTTTTTTTCATGCAGCCTCTGTCAATCATAAAGAAGTATGCAGACAGCTGAAGAAAAAACGAATCATCTGTGGATTACCTATTGGGACTAATTGGGGATGGTATATATTAGGGGATGTTTGTAACTAGGACTGTATGCATTTGTATTCAACATTGCTGTTAAAGATTGTCCCTGAGGAAGTCCCTAACAGGGAAGAAACGCGTTGGACTGATATTCCTGCTATTATTTACTTTGAGGTAAGTAATAAATGCTTTTTTTACTCTTTATTCATACAGTCATTTCATTATCTTTTATTTATTTTTGTTTTTTTTATGAGATCTATATTCATCAAACATTGAAGCAAGAAGACACACCAAGCAGACTTTTGAAGGCATTTCTTGGGATGTTAAAGTGTGAGTGAACATTTGGCACTTACTTATATACCCATTTTACCACAGACAATATTGTACTATGCCATGTATTTCTTATTTCCATAGCTTGGAATAGCCCTATACCATATACTCTGTCAATCATAGCCAGGGGAGATGTGGCTAGGGCTGCATAAACAGAAACAAAGTGATTTAACTCCTAAATGGCAGTGAATTGAGCAGTGCAATTGCAGGGGAATGATCTATACACTAAAACTGCTTTATTTAGCTAAAGTAATTTAGGTGACTATAGTGTTCCTTTAATAAAAGGTGGATTTCATTGGTATGAGGCATGTCTATAAGCTAGATGAATTGATACACAGAGTTAAGTGACCATTTATTATCGGGTTTTCTCACAAACTGTATGGAAGGTTAGTTTTGAAATGTATCTAGTGATTGGAATCCGACTCCAGGTCAGGCCCTGGGGAGATAGCGCAGCTAAGCGGACAAGGGCACATGTAGGCGTGTGGGGATAGATACAGGGGAGGGACTTGGGAAGTGTGCATGGGAGGGGTTAGGCTTAATGTAAGTTAGTGTGGGGGTTAGTGTCAGAGAGAATAACAAGGAGTCAAATCTGGACAGGTTTATCTAATGATGGGATCTGGGCTCTATGGAGGAGGACAGTGGACGGTATTTATTGTCTTACTGTTCAAATAATAATGTGTATAAATATCCCGTTCGCCTCATTGTAACACTGGATATAGACAAACTAGCGGCATTTCTTACTGTATTCATTAAACTGATCCCAAAGACTCTCCTTCAGGGTATTTTCTTATTCTGACAAATAACATGAGGTACCTGTTATTGGTATAACGTATATAATTCAGCTATAATGTAAATAGAGGATACAATCACTACACGAGAATAAGAATAAAAACCTTAATACAAGGTGAATTTGGTATTGGATATGTGTGTAAGTTGCACCAACGTTAGATGAACTGATACACAGAGTTAAGTCACCATTTATTATCGGGTTTTCTCACAAACTGTATGGAAGGTTAGTTTTGAAATGTATCTAGTGATTGGAATGCGACTCCAGGTCAGGCCCTGGGGAGATAGCGCAGCTAAGCGGACAAGGGCACATGTAGGAGTGTGGGGATAGATGCAGGGGAGGGACTTGGGAAGTGTGCATGGGAGGGGTTAGGCTTAATGTAAGTTAGTGTGGGGGAGGTCTTACCTCAGTGCCACTTGGGATACGGGCCAGCAAACAGCTTCCCGCCCGCCCACCCCTTTAGTTTCAGTTAGTCACAGCTAGCCGGGGGTATGTCCTTGCCCATCAAGTTTGAGGGGTTATGTCTAGGGATGGACTAAGTTTTTATGTTTTGCAGATCTCAACCTCCCCTGCTTCAAAGGTTAAACATTAGGTTGCCTGAGGTATCGTGCCCATCGAGCGTGGATAAGGTCGGCTGATGGCAGGCATTGGAAGGATTTTTTATGACGAGGGGGGAGGTGAGAGGAAGTGGTGATTAGGAACCACTGGATGTTTATTGGCAAGGATGGTTGGGTCTTTGCATAGCACGTTTTGTTATTATATGTATATATGCTAATTTATGATTATTTATTTCTAACAGAAAGAAGAGTTTAATAAATAAAGTTATGGATGTGTTATGCAGTAATTTATTTATGTTATAATAAATGCTGTGGCATGTTCATCCATACTAAGTTGTCTGTCGTTATTGGGGGGGGGGGGTTTATTGGGGTTATCTATGTTATGTGGTATTGTAATTCCCCACTACGTACATACATGTATCATTGTGAACCCACTAACCATACTGTGATGTATCAACAGCTCTTTCCACATCCTGAACGGACAGGCTCTGATCTCACCTGACAAGATCACAAAACCACCACATCCATCTGTCAGTATCGTGTTGTGTGGATTTGTGAGTAGAGTTCTGTGGTTTTGTGTACTGTTGCCATTTGAAAGCAGCGGTTTACTTGTGTGTAGTGTTAGCCTTTGAATGCAGGGGGGTATTTGTGTGTAGTGTTGGAGTTTGAATGTTGAGATGTATGCATATATGCATATACACTGCCACATGCACATATTGATAAACATCCAAACACAGACACACACACTAACACATATACAGATACACAAACACACAGAGACACACATACAGATAGATACACACACAGACACAAAGTTACACATGCTGAGACTCATTCAGATACAATGATACTCATACAGATACAGATACAGACACTGACACAAATACAGATACACAGACACACAGATACACAACACAGGGGCACGTATTGGCACAAAGACACAAAAACAGACACACAGATACACATAAAGACACATAGATATATACACAGACGCACAGGTAAATACACTGACACACATTCAGACACACAGATAGATACATAGACACACAGATAGATACATAGACACACAAATATATACACAGACCCACATACAAACACATGGATAAAACTCCCAGATACTCAATACACATACATAAACACAGGTAGATACACAGATACACATAAACACACACGGATACACACAGAGACACACATGAAAAATGTACAGATTGTAAATAAATAGATTTTTTTTTTTTAAAGAAATTAATCTATTTGGGACTGCTGCAGATGTTTATTGGATATGCGCAGTGCTCGCATTGAAAACACTGTGAGAGCCAGCCTTGACCTACAATAAATAACCTCTTCCCTGTCCCTGGTGAAGCAGCAGATTTATTTCAAAGCAAAGTAAGAGTTCAGAATATATGTTTTTTTTGTTTTGTTTTTTAATTTTATTTCTGTGAATCACTTTTGATTGTAAGTTTTTCGGAGGTTTACAGAGGAAGGTTCACTAGCACAACTATGTGTTAGAGTCAATACAGAGTGTCTACACAAATGCAAAGCAGACAGTACAGGAACATAAGAGATGTAGTTATGGTTCAAATCGAGCATTATTTAGGTGTTACATGTGACAAGAAGGTATACTGGAATGCAAAACACATTTCAAGGTAAATAGACTAACGAACGGACATCATGGTATTTTGACAGACATGTTAGACAACAAGACAACAAGGGAACCAAAAAGGCCTGAAAGGACGGGGAGAATTCAGTTCCCTGGGGGGAAGGTGTGACCATAATCTTTTTGTCAAGTCTTATCTGAAGTCCAAGAAATAAAAGCCGAAAATTGTCCATGAAGACCAAAGCTAGACACTGTGCCCCAATATTTGTATTTTAATTCTTGCGTTTGTTAATGTTTTATTTAGAAACACTCTTAAAACAAAATAATCTAAACTTGGATACAGTTACAGAGATCACTTATTGGATTCAAAACTCCGACATACACCTATCTGCTCTCGAGGAGAGTGAATTGAACACTCCAAGCACCATAACCACCGTAGCGTGATGTACCGGCTATGTTGCTCAGGGTGCTCCTTTAACCTTTTCACTTTTTCTTTCAAAATATTATTATTATAAAATGTATTTTAAATGGGTTGCATAGCTAGTATAAAGTATAAATTGCAGTAATTCTGTAAAGAGATGGCTTTTGTGGATTATATTTGTTTTCGTTTGTTTGTTGTTCATTGAAATCCTTCACATAGACTAAAACATAAATAGAATTTAATTTCCTTTACATATTGTGCTTTATGTCCTTTATATATTGTGCTCTATGTCAATTTTTTCTAGCTTCTTCTTGATGATGTCACAGGGTCGGACACGGCAGTAGCGCAGGAAGTACCTTACTGTCCAGATTAAATCATGCGTCCTACAAAAACACATTGTGACACATTGTTTTCTAAAACACAAATATACTAAAATATGATACACACACTCATAAATAGATTAATAAATAAAACTGATTAAACTTTAATTCTTGAAAAGCTTCTTGAGGACACTTAATATACTGGAAAATGTGTAAGAATATACAATATATTACTATAAACACTAACATAAACATATTACACGTTCTAGGAAAATGACCCATCTAGCTGCCTCAATACATATTCAAGATAAAAACTGACCAGTGCATGCAGTTAGGCAGACAGCCACTGGAGGGCACCCCTTGCTTTAATAGAAAACACGTTACATGTGTTATTTTAATTTATAAAAAGAGCAATACAATTATTTATGTGTATGTCAAAAATATCAATAAATTCATTGCTTAAATATGATATAATGTTATTATTCCCTTATGTAAATTACTCTGCTATTATTTTTATCACTTTGTTTGGAATAAAACTGCTGTTAGTAGTATATACATAGTGACACCGGTTTTTATCGATTCCAGTGAGCTGAGACTGATTGAAACAATGCTTTTCAAGTAATGTCCATTTAGCCTCTTAAGGACCAAACTTCTGGAATAAAAGGGAATCATGACATGTCACACATGTCATGTCTCCTCAAGGTGTTAATTGAAGTTAAATTGTGAGCCAACTTTACAGCCTCAAAAACAAGCGAGCTCTCCTTATCGGGAAAATGATACATTAGATATAAATCCATATTACACTATGAGAGTATTTCTCTTTGGCTTTTCTCTCTTTAGGATAAAGTTGTGTTCAAAGAAATTTACATTAAATTGTATGAGAACTATAACCACAGTATGGGCTTTCACTTTGACATACATGTTTTTTGTATGATGCAAAGTGTGAAGGTGACATTACTGAAGTTCAGTTATTTGAGTTTTTAAATAATACATTTTAAATTTTTTGTTTCTCTTACCACCAATCTCACCCCTTTTTAAATGGGCTATCAGTAGATGGTTAATGATATTAGCGTTTGCTGATCTTCCAGCCAGGGATACCATCAGGGGGTGACAACCATGATGGTTGTCACGGGCCCGGCGGTCCTGGGGGGCCCGGACTGGTCTTGCAGTCCTGGGCCCCACTTTGTTTCTCTGCACACATAGATAGCGAATATCACTATCTATGTGTGCAGCCGCGGGCCCCCGGCTCCCTGTTATCGCAGAGGGGGCCCAGCACACAGCTTCTACTCTCTTCTAATAACTCTCGCGAGACCCGGTTACCGTGGCAACGCTCCGCGGGTCTCGCAAGAGTTATTAGAAGAGAGGAGAAGAGGAGAAGTTGTGTGCTGCCTGGGCCCCCTCTGCGGTAACAGGGAGCCGGGCGCCCCCCATGCCACCGGACATGGAACATTTCATTAATTTAATAAAAAAATAATGCATTCACTATACACACTGCATCCGCTACACAAACACACTCTGCATTCACTGCACAAACAGTATCTAATACACACAAACACTACATCCATTACACACATTCTAATTAACTTCCACTATACACACCACATTCAGTCCTGCATCATTGTCAGCGGACTAGGTAGGGCGTGGGCGGGCCCGGGAGGCAGAGAGTGGGGGGGGGGGAGGCCCAGACCTTTGTCATGGGTCCCAAAATTTCTGATGGCGGCCCTGCTTCCAGCTATAATATTACATAATACTTATGATCTAAAACAGAGATCTCAAACTCTGCCTTCCCCAGATGTTGATAGCCTACATCTCCCAGAATTCTTTGAATAGAATTGCCAGAGAACCAAAGAATCTCTTCTAGATCAAATCAACTGGCAGTATAAGAGTGTCTATCAACTTATTTTATTTCTTTATATTTACTATAATTGTATTGGGATGAATTGAGAAAGACCATCCGCTCTGTTTTGCCTGTTTTGGATAGACGTAAAATATTAATTTAGTTCATGTTTGTTGTGTAACCGGTTATTTTAAACAGAATTATCAATTAAGTGGACATTACTTACAATGAACCAAAAAACGTGAATAACCCAGAACACGTTAGACATGGAAATACAGGGATAATACATACTTGTTTTTTGGTCAGCAGTAGATTGATGGTGAGGAAAAGTCCAACTATAACAACTTCAAAACCCTTAGCAATAAAAACTCCATAAAGGAGATCATTCCCGGGGGTAGACATTGTCTGTAGATCTGAAACGAGAGTTTGAAGAATGTTATGTAGTCACATCATACGCAGTATCTATAGTAACTGCAACATTCCATCCGAGCATGCTCAGTGCGCACCCAAAATATCGAGATATTTCTCAATAGTATTTTCCTTCAGTAAGTGATGTGGATGTCAAGCATTTCATTTTACTGCAACAACGACATGTATCATTCAGAATAGCAACTGATTTTCATTTAATCAATTTGTCACAATGGGCGCCTTACCCAATTCTCTAATAGCCCCATGTGGAGGAAATCAGTCTCTAATAAATATATTGAGTGTGCTAGCCATATGTTCACATTACCAATCTGTGTAAAAATGTCTTAAGCTAACATTGTATTATCCATAATAAGTGTTTTATATTAATTATAACATTCTAATTAGCTCGGGAACCCAGCTATAGCTGTAAAGCACTCTGATATAGAACCAACACATCTCACAGATTGACAAAGCTTTCAAACAAATTAGATAATGTCACACGTTTAAACCGAGAAAAGTAAATAATAGTACATGCAGTAAATACAAAGTTAATATTCAAACTTTTTTACCTTCCTGGCAGTAGCTCTTTGGGATCACGGTTCTGGAGATGGTACTGATTGGGTTCTGCGCAGTACACGTGAAGATGGTATTTGTGTCTAAAATATGCAGTAATCCATTAATTATTACACTGCTGTCTGACCTGCTCCAGGTGATTCTCACATCTGATCCATTTACTTTACAAGATAAAATGACTCCACAGGTTCCATTTCTGGTAACATTGGGGAGAATCTCAATATCTTCAGGCAGCAATTTTTCTGGAACAGATTCATAAAATGTTCATATAATAATATTACATGTCCTGGTTGATCAGTCCACATATGATGCTTTTTACTCTATTTAGCTTTTGGTAACAGGAGCCCAACCACAGGGGCAGATGGGACAGAACTTCACCAGTATTCGTTACACTAAGAAGAAAAACTTCTATCACAGTTAAAAACGACTGATATGTTTTCCTATAAATGAGATATTTAACATGAACATTTTCATAAAAATGAAATATACCATTTACGATATCTAAGGAAATCTGTCTCTATAATATTACAATTTTTCTGCTTCCGGACTGATGACTATCTAGAGATCCTGCTAAGAGAAACTGGGCATGTGAAGATTTTGGGGCATTTGTGTAAATACGTCTTGTCTAAGTATATACGCCAGACCCCCCTCCTATAGTGATTTCTGACATCATCCATTAAGTATTCATTGGACTTTCTGTGATGGTCGAAGAAACAATCATGTGCATTGTCCGTTCTTCTAGGATGCTCATTGGCTCACACAGCATCAGGGACAGGAGCTGGCTGGAATGCTGAATGGACTTACTTTAGTAGAGATCATTCTTTAGTTCTGATCCAATTAGTGAAAACACCTACAAACAAAATGGTGCTCCAAAAATAGGTATATTGCAACCAATCTTATTTATTGTTTTAAAAGTATCTGTCTGCAGTATACATCTGTATAATTCTGCACATAGCAAAATCCAGAATTGCACTGAGACAAATGCAAAACGACAAAACACAAACATAGAAAATGTACAGATATATAAATTACACTGTACACAATGTCCTATTGTAATGTGACCATGTAACACTGGTACATGCTGAGCAATGCCTTAATACAGAGTCCAAAGCCAGTGTCCATAAAGTGTCCTCTGCAGAAATCTTCATTACAAATATTACAATGTTGGGATACGAAGAATTATAATAGAGTGTTTCTGTGCCAGCATATACCGAGTCCACCAACTTCAGACTGCAGCTAGAAAACCGACAACTCACTAAAATGACACGTGACATAATACCATAGATAAACCAATCACCCTCAGAGTGTTTTTTCCTAACTGAACTTTATTAAAACTGCTGCTCCACGACCTTGGCTGGAAATCCCAGACTCCAAATAATATGCTGATATAATTCCTGATTTTTAATTAACAGCAAATGTAACTGACAATATGAAATTATCTCTGTTTTATAAAACGTTTCATATATAGTGGATATTACAATCCAGAAGGCAGTAATGCAATAATAAAAATCCTGTTTGTCTGTTGCATTAAGGGTGATAAAACCTTCTGTCGCATGAGTTTTTTAATTAGTCTTGGAATTAGACTTCGAAATCTACTAGTGACTGTTGCTTTCATCATTTGTCTTATGAAACCAAAATCTAGCATTGATCTGACGTCCTAAATTCTGAATACACTGAATATGGATGGGTAAGAGGGGATTTATTAAAGAAACATTGTATTAAAACAATATGATCCATTTCTAACAACTTGTCAGTTTGCAGAATCTCTCAAGAAATACTTTTCATTCTAAAAACTTGCAATATTTGCATAAGCCTATAACATTATCAAAATAGAGTGGTTCTTGACGAGGTCTTGTCTTGACTGTTATTCCTTAGATATCTTCTTACTACTTCCAAATTACCTGTTAGGACATAATCCCCCCTGTATTTCTAAACTGTCACTGTGTTTACTCACTATAAATGATGGTAATGAGGACTAAAGGAACTCTGCAAAACCGTCAAGCACTTCAGCTGATAAATGGTTTAGTGAAGTAACAGCTTTATTTTACAGGAAAGGGGCGACCAGTGATCTAAAAATACTTTACAACACTCCGCGTTTTATATAAATGTATTTATTGATAAAGCTGGCGTGTTCCTTTAATCTCACTGATACTTTGTGTAAACTCTATACATTGATAAATACGGACACTTACTGAATACTCGCAGATTGTACTTTTTATTACAATGTCTGTATCCTGGGACTGTGCGTATTGTCGCTGTGTATTCTCCCTGGTCTTCTCTGGTTAGTTTAGTAAAGTTTAGAGACCCATCAGCCGTTCCATACAGTCTGCCTTCATACCGGTTATCTCGAATGTCTATATCTCCTCCTGGTTTTGTTGTTGCAAAATGGGTCCCACCATTAACAGTCACCCAGCTGATGTATTTAATTCCAGTCTGCTTTATGGGTAGAATTAAATCTCCTCCCACTGCGCCAATAACTGTCCTTTCATCTCGCCATGGCAGTGCACACAATATACCTAGTATTTAATTTAACAGGATTAATAGCTGCATTTAAAAGTTGAAAATCTCTGCAATATATCAATATATATTTTTAAATGCTAATCAACCCACATGGAGATATTAAAGAATGAAAGACAAAGGAAGTTCTTTGTTGTAGTTTTAGAAATAGTGAGCAAAATGTGTACAGGAGTTAAAACATGTTGCAATAGGATGGAAGCAGTGTCACAAAGTAGATATGAGGTTAGACAGCAGTTATATATAATTTATCACTATCCATAGTAATATACTCCACCTGGAATTTATACAGGTTCGGCAGCATTAGTAACCACTGATTCAGATTACAGGAATATGATAACTTTATACAAATATATTCGGGGCCAGTACAAACCTTTATCTGGAAATCTATTCATAAACAGGGCTATACATAGGACGCAATGTCACACATTTAGGCTGGAAAAAAGGAGATTTCATCTAAGGCAAAGAAAAGTTTTTTTTACTGTAAGAACAATAAGGATATGGAATTCTCTGCCTGAAGAGGTGGTTTTGTCAGAGTCCATACAGATGTTTAAACTGAAATTGGATAAATACTTGCAAAAACATAACATACAGGGATATAATTTCTAATTAGTGGGGTAATAGCTGCTTGATCCAAGGAGACATCTGACTGCTATTTTGGGGTCAAGAAGGAATTTTTTCCTAGTTTGTGGCAAAATTCCCAAATTTTACTAGTAACATGACGTAAAGTCATGATTTTATTAAAGACACGGAGGCGAGTATTATGCATAACTCTTTCTTTATTTCCTCAGCAGCAAAGAAAGAGAAATATAAATATTATCAAAACTGAAGAAAAAAAAAAAACTGTATAGGCACAACAGGTAGCCAATCACAGGGTATAGGAAGTAGCTATATAAGTCTTGTGTCTCCCACAATCCCCCTCTTTCTTGCGAACCGAAGACCAGGTAAGATGAACGATGTCCCACTTGGCCGAAACAGGGTAACGGGAAACGATGCGACAATTTCAAGCTAAAAAAGATAGAGAAATATGGTAATTTCTTAATTCAGAACTGCAAACTTACCAAACATAGTCTTGGGGAGACACAGGTAAAACAGAGTACTGAAATATAAAAACAACAGAATTAGTACACAGCATAAAGGTACAGCAACCCGTACAAAAAATGCAAATCAACTGATATGAAACAGAACGAACTGAAAAAGACATACCTGTAGAGCCCCAAGCATCTCGTACCCCAACTCCACTCCGGGAGGGTGGGAGGGAATAATACTCGCCTCCGTGTCTTTAATAAAATCATGACTTTACGTCATGTTACTAGTAAAATCTGGGAATTTTATTAAAGACACGGAGGCTCATATTATGCAAGTTTAAAGCTGTGCCACCACACGAGATGCGATGTGCTCAATTGGCCTGAAGTAGAAGGTTCGGAAGGTCGATTCCCGAGACCAATCCGCCGCTCGCATAATGTCCTCTAGGCGACATCCGACTGAAGAGGCTTTCGAGGCCATCGCGCCCCTGACAGAATGGGGCGTAAATACTGAGGTGTCTATACCCGCGGAGGATAGCAGCCAGCGCACCCAACGTGCTAGAGTAGGAGTCGAAACCGGCCGGTGAGGCGATTTAAAGGATATGAACAGATCGTGCAGGTCTGTCATGCGAAGGGGACGTGTAACATCCAGATAGTCCTTGATGCAATCCACCGGGCAGAGCGCTGGACAGTCTAAAACCTAGGGTATGTAAGTGACTTAGATGCAGACTTGGTCCTCCTGGAAATGTCAAAGGTGACGCCTTCTGGGGTGAATGCAACGGCGTCCCAGTCCAGGGCCCGAACGTCAGAGACTCTTCTGCAAGAAATCAGGCACAGTAACATAACCAATTTGGCAGACAATTGCTTGAGAGACAGCTCCAAATTGGGGTACCATGATGATAGGAACTGTAGCATCACGTTGACGTCCCAAAAGGCGGCAAAACGAGGTTGAGGAGGACGAGCAAGGCGAATACCCTTGAGAAGTCGACAGACAAAAGGATGCTTGCCGACCGGAGAACCGTCTAGACCTTCGTGACCGGCTGAGATAGCTGAGCGGAAAAGGTTGATTGTGCGGTATGCCTTGCCCGAATCAAATAGGAACGTGAGGAACTCCAGAATCAAAGGCAGAAGGGCAGATACGGGATCCATTGCCCGTTCCATGCACCAACCAGACCATGATCTCCATGAATGTCGGTAAGCTGTCCGTGTACCCGGGGCCCAGGCGTTATCGAGGAGTCGGAGAGTTGACTGCGAAACGTCTGGGATAACCCAAGGTCCCCTGAAAGGAACCACGCTATGAGGGGTAGCTGATGCTGCAACACCAGGTCGTGAGAGTTCCCATCCGGATCCAGAAGAAGATCTTGGAATACCGGAAGTAAACGAGGGTAGTCTATGGACAATTCCATCAGCCGAGGGAACCATGGTCGAGACCTCCATAGAGGGGTGATCAAAGCCATCCGACAATCGTGGCGGACCAGTTTCGAGATCGTGCGTGCGATCATGTTGAATGGGGGAAAGGCGTACATCAGACCCGGTGGCCAATCCTGGAGGAAGGCATCTGTCGCTATTGCAGCCGGGTCCGGCCTCCAACTGTAGAACCTCGGTAGCTGAGTGTTCAGGCGTGACGCGAATAGGTCCAACTGGAACCGGCCCCACAGCCTGTTCAGGCACTGGAACACTGAAGCATGTAGATGCCAGTCCCCGGAGTCCCGTAAGTGTCTTGAATTCCAATCCGCCCCCGAATTGTCCAGACCTGGGATGTGTTCCGCCGTTACCGAAACGTTGTTGTAGAGGCAGAACTGCCAAAAATCCTTTGCCAGAATCGCCAACATTTTGGATTTCGTGCCCCCTAGGTGATTTATGTAACGGACTGCTGATACGTTGTCCATCTTGAGGAGAACGCAACAATTCGCCCTCCCCGGAGCAAGGCTGCGGATCGCGAAGGCACCTGCCAGAAGTTCCAGGCAGTTGATGTGTAACGACTTCTCTGTGTCGGACCACCTGCCTCCTGTGGAGACGTTGCCACAACGAGCGCCCCAGCCGTGTAAGCTGGCATCGGACTCTATCACTACGTCCGGGACAGAACCGAAGATGGCTCTTCCGTTCCATGCCTCCATGTGCGCCAACCACCACGCCAGTTCGTCCCTGGACTCCTCGTCTAATGTTATCTGAGATTCGTATGAATGACCGGAGCGAAGTCATGATCCTTTGAGCCGTTGGAGTGCTCGGTAATGCAGGGGACCTGGGAAAATTGCTTGAATGGAGGCCGCGAGAAGGCCGATAATTCTCGCCAGTTGTCTGACCGACAAATCTGGGACACGGAGGGCCCTCCGAATTTCCTTCTGGATGGCTTTCACCTTGGCATCCGGAAGGAACAGGAACTGCTGGATGGAATCCACTTGAAAACCCAGAAACTCTATGGACTGGGCAGGGACCAGGACTGACTTGCTCCAATTGATCAGAAATCCCAACTTCTGCAGAAGGTCGGTCGTCCATCCCAGGTGTGTGAGGAGATCCTCTCGTGACTGGGATAAAATCAAGATATCGTCCAGGTAAATAATGAGGCAAACCCCCCGGGTTCGGAGGAATGTCACCACGGGCTTCATGAGCTTGGTGAAGCACCAAGGGGCCGAGGAGAGACCGAAAGGCAGGCAGGTGAAGCGCCAACGACGCCCATGCCAGGTGAAGTGGAGATAATCCCGGAACTCCAAAGCGATGGGGACCGTAAAGTATGCGTCCTTCAGGTCTAGCTTGGCCAACCAGTCCGATTGACGTAGGAGGTCCCTGAGGCAGTGTATACCTTCCATCTGGAAGTGTTGGTAGCGTAGAAAAGCGTTGAGTGGGCGAAGATTTATGACAGGGCGAACTCCGCCTCCTTTCTTGGGCACTAGGAATAAATTGCTCGTAAAGCCTGGGGCGGCGAACGGCAACTCCTCTATAGCGCCCTTGGACAGCATCTCTACCACTTCCGTGGAAATCATCTCGTCCTGCTCCTGAGGTAGGGACAATTCTCTGGGGAAGTAAAACTGGACAGGCATGGACACAAACTCCAGACGAAAACCCCTTACACATTGTAAGACCCAAGCATCTGAGGTGATCTTTGCCCATTCTTGACAAAATAAGGCCAGTCTCCCCGCCACCCGAACTTGAGCGTGAGGGGAAGAAAGGGTACTCACCGTAAGGACGTCTGCCGGGGGTACCACCGCGGGGGTATCTGGATCCCCAGGCCCGACCTCTTGCCGGGAAGAAGGGAGGGGCCCTCTGTTCCTGAAATCCTCTCGAGGGAAAGAAGGAACCTCTGGTTGCGCGGAATGCGCCTCGGAAACCACGGCCGGGTGGACGGTTCCTGCTACGCCCGGCCCCTCCGAAAACCTTAGGCGCGAACACGCGCTTCATGTTCGCCTGTGCCTTGTCAATAGCCGTAAAGGTCTTGACATAATCACCCATATCCTTAACGAAGGACGCGCCAAACAGGAGACCCTCCTCAGTTGGATCAGGCTCCGCCACAGTCATAGCGGCCAATTTAGGGTCGATCTTCAGGAGGATCGCCTTGCGTCTTTCTGTAGACATGGCCGTATTGGCGTTCCCCAGTAAGCAAATAGCTCTTTGGACCCAACCAACGGCCACATCCACGTCCAGGACGGAGTCCCCGGTCCTGGCAGCATCCAAAAGCTCGTAAAGCTTGGAAAGGGGACCTAGGGTATCCAGGATCTTGTCCTGGCAGCTTTTAAGGGAGTGGTCAAGGCCCTTCTTGGGCTTCCATCCTGACTTATTCAGGAATTGAGCAATTTGCGGGTCAATGTCCGGGGTTTTGCAAGCCGCGCCCGGGAGGGACGGGCGTGGACACTCGGCGCGCAATTTATTGCGGCCTTCCCTAGAAAGTGGCGTGCGGATACGCTTAGCCACATATTGGGCGATGTGATCTGGGGGAACCCACTCGGCGGACCGAGGATGACGTAGGTCGTCTGGGTCAAACAGGGGGTTGCCCTGCGGGTCAAGGATCGAGGTGTCACCCCCCGGGGGAGCAAGTGAGGGGCCCCGGGTATTGGCGGAGGACCCGGAGGGGTTCACGCCCGTAAGGGGCAAATCCTCGCCAGAATCATCATGATCAAAGGAGTCGTACTCCATAGCGTCGGATTCATCCTCCACACTCCGGTCGGTATCCGACCCAATATCATGGGCTTTAGCCCTTTTCCATAGTCTAGCCTTTTTAGCCCGGCCAGGGGCTCTTTTGCGCGTGGGGTGCGCGCTATCTGAGACCGCCTTAGGCGTGTCAGTCATGGCAGGCAAAACCTGCATCGAGGAGTGGGAGCCGACATGTTTGGACTTAGCCTTTGCCTTACGGGCTCCAGGCACAGTCTGAGCAGGGGAGAGGGCAGGGGTGGCCATAGCAGGTAAAATCAGAGAGTGCAGGGACTGGGAGAAATTAGAAGAGACAGCTCCCATGGCTGAGGCAATAACCTTCTAAATAGAGGAAGCCATAGTGGCCTCTAACATGGCCTGAAACTCTTGGGAGGCCATGGCACCATCAGTACTATCTAATTGGAAGTCCCCTGGGGGACCAACAGGCCCATCACCCCTATCCTGCATGGTAGTGACAGAGAATTTAAATAGTAAAATAATAATGCAATGGCAATTATATAGGGACCAAAACTGACTACAAACAAAGCAGGTTGAATAACACCAGGGTGTTAGCTGGGAGAGAGAGGGAAGGGTTGATTAACCCACAAGGAAAAACTGAAAAACAAACGTTTTGGCTGGTGTCCCCAGGGAGCAGGGCTACGAGGTGGCCGGTCGCACGGCAGCACTGGGAGGAATACCAAAGACCGCCCCCAAAATGGCCGCCGCACGAGGAAGGCACACGAGGAAAAACCACTCGGCGGGGGAAGGGGCTCGTGCACCCGCCCGCCGAGCCGACACGCTAACTGAGTGAGGGAGGAGGAGAGAAGCGTGTACACCGCCGCGGTCGCGAGGAAATCGCGGCCGCGGCACGGCAGGTCGGGTCCCGTGCAGAAGCACGGGTAGGAGAGGGGAGAGAGGAGGGGAGGGGTGGGGACCGCCCGGACGGGGCAGAGGCACACCCGCGGGCCCAGAGGGGAGACACCAGCCGGGGAAAATACAGACAATAATAAAACAAATAATATTAGACCAAACAGTATGAAAATCATAAAAGGAAAACACACTGTAATACAAATTAAATGGAATCACAATGCAAGCCAAAATCAGAGAAACACTTATCTGTCTGATGAAGCAGCAAAGAAAGAGGGGGATTGTGGGAGACACAAGACTTATATAGCTACTTCCTATACCCTGTGATTGGCTACCTGTTGTGCCTATACAGTTTTTTTTTTTTCTTCAGTTTTGATAATATTTATATTTCTCTTTCTTTGCTGCTGAGGAAATAAAGAAAGAGTTATGCATAATATGAGCCTCCGTGTCTTTAATAAAATTGGAAGCGCTTCAGACCAGGTTTTTTGCCTTCTTTTGGATCAACAGCAACAACATTTGTAAGGAAGGCTGAACTTGATGGACGCAAGTCTCTTTTCAGCTATGTAACTATGTAACTATGTAACCCTTATCAGCTCACAGTGAGTTTGAGTAAAACATTAAGATTGAAGAGGGTCATCCCTGGCTAAATCCTAAACTGCATGACTGGTAGTGTTGGCTTAGTCTTTATCCCAGCCTGACAATCAGGGAGAGCAGATACACGTATGTAAGTCCAGGTTCCATGTCACAAGTGATTTATCTGTGTTCTAAAGGTTGAGCTTGATGGACTTCAGTTTTTTCAACCTAAATTACTACGTAACATTATATCAATAGGGGACGTGGGTTCAAAGCAGCTCTGAGACATTAGTTGGATGTTGGGTTAGTCTGCGGCTTCTAATCTTAGTGACATTATCACTCAGAGTATGTATTGTTCCCCAAATGTGATACGTTCAGTTATTAAAGTCTCAAAGAGTTTTTCTCAGGGTCTTACTGGAAATACCACTAATGTTAATTAAATAAACAGTGATAATGTCCTGTGACCTAAAGGAGAGACACCTATGGAACAATAACCAACATTCTGCTTCCATCACTTTGTCACCTAAACGAGTGCACTCACCTTTATAGGGGAGAATAATCTGCTCCCACTTCACATCTAATCCAACCATCAGCAGTGTTACAATGAAATTGCATTCTTTCAAAATGTAACCCCTTAAGGACCAACTGTAACGGAGCTCCTTGTACTCCGACTGAGTACCCTCCATTGATGGATGCTCCTAGCGCTTCCTGAGGACTCCCAAGCACTGCAGCAGACACCACAACCACCGCAGACTCCACAACCTCCGTATCTTGACTGGAGTCCGTCTTCCTTCCACCCTGGATCAACTTCATCCTCCAGGACTGTGTGGTGAAGACCCCTCCTCCAAGGAGAGCGTGTCAGGGAACAAGCTCTTAAAAGAGCTAAGTGACTCAAGCTCAGGGGAGCATGCAGAGCATAGCAATCCCCAGTGTGATTATAACAGCTCCCTCCAATACGAGACAAGGCTACGTTTAGAGGGATCAAGAAGAACTGTCAAAACCTTTATTCCCTTGGGACCAGCCAATAGAGTCACCACAATAACATTGTTGTGAAACCTCAATAAAATCACAAACAGTCAAACCATATCAAGCAACACACAGTGACTTATCACAACACAATGGCACATTTTTAAAGGGGTGGGGGGAGACAATATTTAACAGTAAATATCTCACCTGCCTGCAGAATTAGCAATATGCAAATCTACCCGAATATGCAAATGAACCAGTCTTGCAATTCAGGTAGTGCATATTGCTGTTGCTACCAACAGAGGGCACTAGACAAGCTCCATAGCCAAACCCACCTAGTTGGTAGCAAACCTCAGCAATACAAGAGAGCAGGCAATACATTACACAGTACACACACACACTATAAACAATTACATTACACACACACCCTGCACCTATATAATGGGTACAGGGTGACTAAAACATAGGATAAATAAAGCAGCCCACATAAATAGTCTGTCTGAAGGTAGACTAGGGGCTTTAAGCCAGATAGATGAAAGAGTCATAGTCACAGGGGAGGAGGCTGGCAAGTAGGCCTCTCCAGGACCAAGTGGCGAAGGGCACTTCACACATATCTCCCTTCGGGGAAGACTAACCAGGCACCTGACTTTCTGTCGGTCAGTGCCTAAGTTGAGTCACCCACCGACCATAAGCAAGTGCCAGAGTAGCCCACCCACAACAAACAGTTATTAGAGCAGCCCACCCACAGCAAACAGTGACTGCACCTGGGTATTCCTCTGGGGTGATGGGGCAACACGCACTGGGGACTTGAGGGGCAGAGGCCAGCAGCGCTCTGCCCTGATGCCAGCGCTTCTGCTGGGAGGAGGGGGGTGCAGGCCAGTCCTGTGACAAGGGGATCGGTAGGGCAGAGGCCAGCAGCGGTCTGCCCTGATGCCAGCTCTTCTGCTGGTATAGCCTGCAGGACATCAGGCTCTGGACAAGGGACAAAGGGAGGGCAGAGGCCGACTGCACTCTGCCCAGCTGCCAGCTCTTCCGCTGGGGGCTTGGGACATAGTCCGGCTCAGTAGCCAGGGGAACGTGGGGGTCAGTGGGGGTTAACATCTCCCCTGTTAACCCTGGGGCCAAGTTAGGAGTTAGCTGGGGAGGGGAATTCATCCTTACCCCCTCCTCCTGTTGTCCCTGTGAGGGTAGTTGGGGATCTGGACAGGCTGTCCAGCATCCCTGTAGGTTGGGCACAGAGACCACGGTCCCCTCTGCGCCATCTGGGAGATTGGTGTCTCCCCTTGGTAGGGTAAGCTGCCGCTGGGGAGATAGGGTGCTGTGCTCCTCTCCCTGAAACACAGGCTGCCGCTGGAGAGGGAGACCGCCTGTCTCCACTCCCATAACATTTTCCTGCTGCTGGAGAGAGAGACCAACTGTCTCTGCTCCCTGTAGGACACACTGCTGCTGGGGAGGAAGGACGACACCTTCGGCTCCCTGTAACTTGCACTGCCGCTGGGGAGGAAGGACAACACCTTTGGCTCCCTGTAACTTGCACTGCCGCTGGGGAGAGAGACCAACTGTCTCTGCTCCCTGTAGGACACACTGCCGCTGGGGAGGAAGGACGACACCTTCGGCTCCCTATAACTTGCACTGCCGCTGGGGAGGAAGGACGACACCTTCAGGTCCCTGTAACTTGCACTGCCACTGGAGACTAGGTGTCCATATCCTCAACCTCCACAGTTGTCGCTCAAAGGCCATTGCCGCACTGTTCTCAGCACTCAACTGGCGCATTACTTGGTGGACCACCTCGTTTGAAAGGTCTGGGCCATAGCAGACCAACCGCCTCTTTACCTCCTCAATGTAAGCATCATCCTCGTAGCGACGTATCATGTTGAGGTGCTCTTCGCAGGGCTCTATCCATCCCTGCTCCATGCTGCTGTAGTTAGGGACGCTGCACAGTGGCTAGCGTTGCCCTCAATAACCTCTCATACGATACCAGTGTCTCAGAGCTGCTTCTCCTCGCACTAGGACGCCATCCCACCGCTGCCACCAATGTAACGGAGCTCCTTGTACTCCGACTGAGTACCCTCCGTTGACGGATGCTCCTAGCGCTTCCTGAGGACTCCCAAGCACTGCAGCAGACACCACAACCACTGCAGACTCCGCAACCGCCGTATCTTGACTGGAGTCTCGCCGTCTTCCTTCCACAGCTTCTGTCCTCCAGGACTGTGTGGTGAAGACCCCTCCTCCAAGGAGAGTGTGTCAGGAACAAGCTCTTAAAAGAGCTAAGTGACTCAAGCTCAGGGGAGCATGCAGAGCATAGCAATCCCCAGTGTGATTATAACAGCTCCCTCCAATAACGAGACAAGGCTACGTTTAGAGGGATCAAGAAGAACTGTCAAAACATTTATTCCCTTGGGACCAGCCAATACAGTCACCACAATAACATTGTTGTGAAACCTCAATAAAATCACAAACAGTCAAACCATATCAAGAAACACACAGTGACTTATCACAACACAATGGCACATTTTAAAAGGGGTGGGGGGAGACAATATTTAACAGTAAATATCTCACCTGCCTGCAGAATTAGCAATATGCAAATCTACCCGAATATGCAAATGAACCAGTCTTGCAATTCAGGTAGTGCATATTGCTGTTGCTACTAACAGAGGGCACTAGACCAGCTCCATAGCCAAACCCACCTAGTTGGTAGCAAACCTCAGCAATACAAGAGAGCAGGCAATACATTACACACACACACACTATAAACAATTACATTACACACACCCTGCACCTATAATGGGTACAGGGTGACTAAAACATAGGATAAATAAAGCAGCCCACATAAATAGTCTGTCTGAAGGTAGACTAGGGGCTTTAAAGCCAGATAGATGAAAGAATCATAGTCACAGGGGAGGAGGCTGGCAAGTAGGCCTCTCCAGGACCAAGTGGCGAAGGGCACTTCGTCACACCAACCTTCTGGAATAAAAGGGAATCGTGACATGTTAGACATGTCATGTGTCCTTAAGGGGTTAAACAAAAATGGCCGAATATTTAGACAATCTTCACTTAGTCAGGCTGATATTTCACTTGATATATTGATATACTTGATATATAAACTTTTCAATCCAATTGCCAACTCTGTTTAATAAATATGAGATTTGATATCATATACAGTGATACAGTGAGAACTTACTTTTTGGAAGGAAAAGGAATACTGTGATCCAGATGTGAATATAGATCATTTCTTCTCTATCGTTGAGCTGTCAGTCTGTAAAGGGAGCAGAGCTCTGTCCCTTCCTGTTTCTATATAAGAACATCCCCTTTTACAAACACGAATATTGTGACTGTGTGACATTTTTGTAGGAAATTAGAGCAACATGAAAAATAAACCTTTTGAACATAATATTTCCACTTCTTCACTACTAAATGCTTTTTGTTTTAATAACATTATAATACATGTTTGAATCATACTTGTCTCTCTTCAATAATATAAATATACAGAATTTTGATTAATAATGTGTATAACATAAGCTGCCCCCTCTTTTTGTATGGGCCTGTAAGAGTAGATTGCAGAGAGATTTGAGTGCTAACCGCTTACTCATAGACTCTATAAAGGACATTCTCTCTCCAGCTTTAAATATAGGGACCGATATGGGTCTTGAAGAGTTAACCATCATAAAATCAGCAGGAGTGTTTATGTAATTATTATTATTATTATTGGTATATATATACTAATCCTGCAGTGCTTTACAATATTATTAAACATTTACATGGACATTACAATACGTGAGTAGTGATGTCGCGAACACAAAATTTTCGGTACGTGAACGCGAACTTCCGCAAATGTTCGCGAACTGGCGAACCGGGCGAACCGCCATAGACTTCAATGGGCAGGCGAATTTGCACCTGTCCTCAAAGCCCCTGATACACACTGACACAGAGCAGAATAGAGACTGTTCCCCCTACATAGGGTCACTTGTCAGATATGGATTGACACCTGTCCTCAGAGACCATGATACACACTGACACAGAGCAGAATAGAGACTGTTTCCCCTACATCGGGTCACTTGGCAGATATGGATTGACACCTGTCCTGGGGATCCCTGATACACACTGACACAGAGCAGAATAGAGACTGTTCCCCCTACATAGGGTCACTTGGCAGATATGGATTGACACCTGTCCTAAGGATCCCTGATACACACTGACACAGAGCAGAATAGGGACTGTTCCCCCTACATAGGGTCACTTGGCAGATATGGATTGACACCTGTCCTCAGGATCCCTGATACACACTGACACAGAGCAGAATAGGGACTGTTCCTCCTACATAGGGTCACTTGGCAGATATGGATTGACACCTGTCCTCAGAGATCATGATACACACTGACAGAGCAGAATAGAGACTGTTCCCCTTACATAGGGTCACTTGGCAGATATGGATTGACACCTGTCCCAAGGATCCTGATACACACTGACATGCAGAGCGTGGAATAGACTTCTGTTCCTCCATAGGGTCACTTGGCAGATATGGATTGACACCTATCTCAGAGACTATGTAGAGATACAGCAACACACAGAGCAGAATAGAGACTGTTCCCCCTACATAGGGCTTGGCAGAT